AAATTAGCTCCTTTTATAATGAAGCCAGAAAGCAAAGCTGTAGTATTCAAAAGGTACAGTTAAAGCTCTGCAACACGTTCAGGTCGATCTGTGTCTTACTGACTGCAACAGAAGCCACTTTTCTAACCGCTGAACTCCTCCTAGTAAATAAAAGTTAAAAAAAACTCTGGTTCAGATAAAATCTATAGTGAAAAAAATGAATAAAAAGCTGAGCAGAGTCAGATGAATCAACCGTCCAAACCTGAGGCCAGACCACCAGGCTGATCATTCTCCTTTCATTTATTTGTGTCACATTTGTTAACTGAAGGGAACTTTTTACTGACAGACAGTGTCATTCATTACAGAGCAGAAATCAATATATAACCGTTTGATCACCTGCATGTTTTCCTCCTCCAGCACCGGGGACTTCTTAGGGAAGATCTGATTGGCCTGGATGCACTCCAGGCTCTGCTGCCCCTCCTCCTCCTGCACAGACAATAGACGACTTTTATTGTCATTTCATTACGTACAGCTTTCAGACAGTGAATAAGCAGCAGCTTAGCAGCAAAATGAACATTTTCATTCCATAAAGAGCAGCAGTGATCAAAAAACAAGATGCAAAAACACCAATAAACGTGTTTATTGCTTTCACAGCCACAGCTTTCTTTTACAACCAGATTTCTTCTTTAGTGCGACATCATTTGAAAACATGTGACAGGAGACGGTTAGCCGAGTATTTCCTTTACTTTTGCTCTTTTTACTCCGTCCAACACAGCCTTATTTCAGCTCCTCCTCATTGCCAGACCACAGAAAGAATTTGGTAAGTTATTTGCAAATGGTCGAGATGTCACAACGACCGTCTTCCCCTTTCCCATCCACACTGTAATCAGGACTATTTAGATTATTCTGTGTAGGAAATCCTGCAGACATAAGAGCCTAAAAGTTGAATCCCATTCAGCAGGAAGTTCAGAAGGAGTTTTAGGCTGGGAAACTTGGTTGGCTTTCACAAGGGTTACCTGTGTGTAGCAAAAAAATGTCCGTCTACAGGAGCCACAGAGGGGAATGCAAAGCAAAGCGGACTTCGGCAAGCAGAGTTTGAGGTAAATGAAAGTCTTTAGCTTGAAGCTCTGGACGATGAAACATCACGTGTGTTTGCTCAGGAGCTGAGTTTAGACTAAACACTGCACAAAAACAGATTACGGTGGTAAGAAAGAGATGGAAGATAGCCGACGGTATTAAAACATCCTGTGTGACGCTGACTCAGCATAAGCTGCTAACCAATCTGCATTGTTCCAGCATAATGTTTAATCCAGCCTAAACAGAAGAGGACTGGGCTAAAACGGAAGAATAAGGCCAAACTGGGTCAGATCAGAAAAACACATCCAGTCGGCTGTTTACATCACAAAGTGATGATAAAGTTTTTACTGCAGTGGAAACTGAAAGCTGTCCTCAGGGGACCTCTGACACTTTTGGAGCTGATGCAACCGTCCGCCTCCTGATAACCAGAGCTGACTCAAAGTGATAATCAATGGAGAGTTCCCATTTTGCAGATTGCTTGCAGGACAAAGGACACAGAAATGAGCATTATAAAGCAGTAAACAAGGTGAGGATACTTTACCATGGCCCCTCAGAAGGAGCTTGGCTCTGCCAACGAGGAACTCCGGCTCGCTTATGTCTGTTCAATAACAGAGAGAAAGAAATACAGGCTTTGAGTAAAAATTATTCACAGGATCTTTAAACCATCACTAAAAAAAACAACAGCTTTGTATCACGGGTGGAAATGGTTGAAAATACACGGCTGTACTTAAAATGCTCGAGCAGACGTCCAGTATCAGCAGACGTTTCAGGTTAGTTGGGGATTAAAACATTTAGCAAAGATAATAATGATAACTAGAGATGCAGGGAAATCGGCTTTTCCGCTCGACACGCCATGAACTGTCATTTGATTGGAAGCTCGTCTGCTTCCTCATCAATGAACGCCCCACGCCTAGGCACTACCAGGTCAGGAAAACCGCTGCAGCGTGGAGGTCAGTTACGGCGAAAAGAGAGGTGGCCATTTTTATAATGAGGAGAGCAAATCAGGAAGAACAGAAAATATTCTAATGAGCTTTTAACTTCTGTCTGTGATGAAACATGTTGGGTTTAGACGTGTTGACCCAAACTTTGGGAACNATTGCTGTTACTTTCTAAAATCTTTCTCCAAGTTTCCGTTATTTGCTCTGATCTTATGTTGTTTTTCTTCTTCTTAGTGGCTCTGTTGGGCTGTGACACCATCCTAGAGGGGCGTGGCAGCCATCGGTCGAGCTACTGATAAACAACCTCAAGTTTCCGTTCTTTCATCAGCTAACCCCGTCTCCCTCCGTAGCTACTTGCTGAGCTTTAACTGTAATTTACTGTATTAAACCCCAACATACGTCATTAATCCTAAAGGGAAATGAAATGCTGTTATAGCTGATGCATTATGAGTTTCTGCAGTGAGTTGTTGTAGATGCTGATTGCTGTAGGCAGGAGGGATTGTCTGCTAGGCCTGTCTGCCAATAACTGAAGACTTTTTGTTGCTTAACAGTCTTCTGAAGAGGAGGCTCACTGTTGCCCACAATCTTCTTCACTTTATGAAGGATTCTTCTCTAGAGTGTCTAGAGGAGTTCCTTGAACAGAGCCTGGCTTCTTTATCTGCTTGTTGAGCTTTTTTTTTTTTTAGGTAATTAGCTCTGATGCTGTTACCCCAGCAGATAATGGGGGAAGCGATTAAAATCTCTGAAACAGGCTGATGGAAGATCTGCATCATCTCATGAAGGAGCAAAGCTTCATCTGAACTATACTCTGCTCTGTC